GCTCTATCAGGACTCCTTGGAAGTCTGGCCAGAATAAACAGCTGTGGAACATTTTGCACATGTACATATACACAACACTGGTCACTATCTGGTTTGTCTGTGTGTACTCAGCAGCTGCTGATTGTATTTTCTTTCTCCTTGTTTTTGTCCCTTTGAAAGAGGGATTTGAATGATATTGTTGGAAAATGACTAGATTTTGGCAAATAAACATTTCCTCTGCTTTGGGTGCTTGACCCTTCATATGTACTTCTGAATATAACAAATGTTTATTGGCAATCTGTAAGACTGAGTGCTGATCTTCTCCATACGGTTCTATCACTTTAGTTAAAGTTTAATTTAAATTTGTGTTGGAAGGATTATGAAAGCTGAAGTGCTTGCTCAGTGATGACATTTTCACAAATACAGATTTTCTCAATGGTTCGGTGATCTGCACGACAAATAAGCATGTTGACTCACATTTAGAATTCTCAAATCATGTTATCTTTCGGGGCTCCCCTGACTATTTATGTGAAGCCATTCTTCTAAGAAAATGTATTTTGGTCAGTGATCATAGAATAATAAAATTATAGAAAGGTAGAGTTAGGAAGGTAGGAAGTTTGGAAGGGGCCTATAAGGCCACAATTTATGACTTCAGAGGCATCCCTGAGATGTGGCTGTCCAACTGCCTCTTGAATGCCTCCAGTATGGGCAAGACCATGACCCCCTAGGTCAGGGGTCTCAAACTCGTGGCCCATGGGCCAATTGCCGGGACGGGCGGGGTATGGGGGAGGGGCCCTGCGGCCTTCAAAGCGCCGGCGGCGCCCGGGCCGGCTGCAGGATGAGCGGCCCACCACCACCGTGGTGGTGGAATACTTGATGCAGCCCAGCCTCACCCAGACTGTACTTCCAGCGGCCCCCAGGTAAGTTGAGTTTGAGACCCCTGCCCTAGGTAATTTGTGCCATTGCTATAGTGCTTTAAGTCCTGAAGTTTTTCTTGATGTCTGTCTGGAGTCGGGCGTCCTGTTAACTTGAGCCCATTATTCTGTGTATTGCGCTCTGGTATGATTGAGAAGAGATTCTGGCCTTCTGTGACAGCCTTTCAAGTATTTGAAAAGTGCTATCATATCATCAATTAAATCATGGCAGTTCAAGATTGGCAGGTAGGCAAAGGGTCAAGGATCATTTAATTGGGCTGAATGAGTTCAAATCTCCAGGGTCTGATGAACTCCATTCCAGAGTCATGAAAGAGCTAATGGAGGAACTCTTAGAAACACTATTATCTTTTATCTATTATATTTTATCTATATTATCTATTATGGAAAACAGGAATTTTATCAAAGTGCCAGATGGCTGGACTACCAGATGACTACAGAAGAGCTAACATTTTCCCCATCTTCAAAAAAGGGAAAATAGATGAAGCAGGGATCCACAGACCAGTTAATCTGACATCAATCCCTGAAAAAATTCTGGAGCAAATTATTAAAAAATCAGTTTTCAAGCACCTTGGAGAAAATGCAGTGATTAATAAAAACCAGCATGGATTTATCAAGAACAAATCCTGTCAGACTAATTTAATCTGTGGTTGTGCCCCACCTATGGTATAGCCACCCAAGAGCAGTTTGCCTGGCACCTACATTACAATATTTTTGGTGCCAGGAAGAAACAACATTTTTGAGGTATTTTAATAATTAATTTTCATTTTGTATGCATTTTACTAAAGTTTTATATTGTTTTAATTTGTCATGCCATAAACTCTCAGCTGCATATTGTTGTGCAGTGTTTACATTTTATTGTTATTATATCATGTATACCACTTTTCCATTGTTGTTTTATTGGCATATGTAGTTTTATTTTGTGGTTTCACTGTTGTTATCTTGTAATCCACCTAGAGAGCCCTACCAGTCTATTAATGCAGAATATAAGTTTGATAAATGATAATCTCATTTTTTGACTGGGTAATATCCCAAAGGGACAGCAGAAACACTGAACTTAATCTAATTTGTCTTTAGCAAAGCTTTCAGCACAGTATCCCACAACATCGTGATAAGCAAACCAGCAAAAAGTGGATTACATAGGATAGGAAAGCTATTAGGTGAATCCAAAATTGGCTGCTAAATCGGACACAAAGAGTACTCATCAATGGCACCTTCTCAAAGTGGAGGAAGATAACTAGTGGGGTGCCGCAGGGTTCATTCCTAGGGCCAGTGCTCTTCAATATCGTTATTATCTTTATTAATGATTTAGATGAAGAAGTACAAGGAACGATAATCAAATTTGCAGAGGATAGAAAACTGGATGAGAAAGCAAGCACTCTAGAAGACAGAATGAAGATCCAGGACAATCTTGATAAACTTGAACGCTGGCCTGAAAGCAACCAAGTGAGATTCAGTAAGGACAAGTGCCAAGTCCTCCACTTAGGAGAAGAAACCAAACACATCGATACAAGATGAGGAATATGTGGCTCAACAGAACTGAAAAAGACCTTGGAGTTATTGTGGACAACAAGCTAAATATGAGCAGCAATGCGATGCAGCTGCCAAAACAGCAAGTGTTATTTTGGAATGGATTAATGCAAGTATTACTTCCAAATCACAAGAAGTAGTAGTTCCGTTATACTCCTCCCTAGTCAGTCGCCATCTGGAATATGATGTCCAGTTCTGGGCACCAAGATTTAAGAAAGATGAAGAAAAAATAGAAGGGGTCCAGCAGAGGACAACTAAAACGATCCAGGGTTTGGAAACATTACCCTATGAGGAGAGATTAAGAGAACTGGGCATGTTCATCCTTGAGAAGAGAAGACTGGGGGTGGGGGGATGATATCACTCTATAAAACCTGAAAGGCTGTCACAAAGAGGAAGGCCAAGGTCTCTTCTCACTGATACCAGACTGTAGGACATAGAATAATCAGCTCAAGTTGCAACAAACCAGGAAAAGTTTCCTCACGGTCAGAGCAATATGACAGTGCAACCAGTTGCCTAGAGAGGTTGTGGGCTCTCCCACACTAGAAATATTTAAAAAGTAACTGGGCAGCCATGTGAGTGGGATGGTGTAAATTGCTGTCTTGCAACATCAGGAGTTGGATCTGGTGACCTTCTTGCCCCCTTCCAACCCTACTGTTCTATGATTCTATGAAAAGCATGTTTTGGGGCTGCAGGTACTGGGGCAGCAAGTTAAGAAAATGTACAGGACAAATGTGTAATTCAAGATTATGGAACCTTTTTTTTTCTAGTATACTAGTTTTCAAGGAGGGAGGATTTTATATAGTGAAGTAGTACAGCCTATATGATACCACTGTACTTAAACGAACAGATCAACCTTTCATAGAATGCCAAGGCAATGAAGGGTGCTGGCTGGTTTTATAGGCAACAAAGTTCATAAAGAGGTTTCAGATATATTGCACATCTGTGTGTAAATCCGGGATTATTCATGTGGCAGGTGTGTACATGATGTCACTGTTAACATTTGGCATCACCATTTCATTGAATAATTTCTCTCACACCCTTCTTAAACAAAGCACTGCCTTTGGGCTGTGTGTGTTGCATAACAAGTTAAGATTTGCTGGAAAGCCTCAGTTGGCAGCAGGAAGCTGAGGATGAAAAATCTTTGCTTTTACTCAGCGAAAGTCTTATAATTCATTCAGTAAAGTATCATCATAGTTAATTCACACATAACTGTCCTTAAGCCTATCCCTGCAAGTTAGGAAAGCAGCATATGCAGTATCATTACAACTGCAAGCCCAGGGTCAAATCCAAGTGGCAGAGGCATCTGTTGATATGTGATTACTTTTTCCTTGAATGTACATTATTGTTGAAGCGGTAATGAACAAAACTTCCAAATCTTTTCATACTCTCATGTTTTGGTTAGTTCACCTGAAGATTTCTAATACTTGTTGAATTCCTCAGTAACTCCTGCATTTATTCCCTTACATATGAAATACTTAGGAGAAAGAAGAGAAGAGAGGACAATGGAAAGTTGTGTATGTATCTTTTGCTGGGAAAAACCCTCCATTCATTGCCAATGAGCTCTCCTAATGCAACAACTTCTTTTTTAGGCCTAGGGCATTCTATATTGACACTGCACAGTGTCCATATTTTGCTTCCTTTACATTTGCAATGCTCCAGGCCTTTTTAAATATTTGGTGAGAAGCAGAAAGCTTTGCCAACTGCCATTCAATATCTAGGCCAGAGAATGTTTCATTCTGCACTTGCAGATACCTAGGACTGATTACTAACTTTACCCCAACTCTTTCTCTTTAAAAGGCCCAATTATGCTGCTGCTTCTGCTTTACCCTGTAAGCTAAAATGCATTTCACTTTGCTTCTTGAGATCTAGAACAAAACTGCCCAACTTTCTTTTCTTTTGTTAGTTTTTAGTATTTTTTTTACAAGCTGGTGCTTTTGGTTTTAATTCTGCCCCATACCTCTTTCTCTGTCCTAATTTAGTCATCCCTTTTATTGACTCTCTTGGCCTTCTAAACTGTCTTTCTATAGCTAATGTGACTCATTCTGCACGATCTTTTACTTATTTTCCACATAAACTACTGGATTTCTCCAGTGAACAGCACTTTAACCTTGCTCGCTCTCATGGTTCATTACCCATTTAGGGCATTCTCTGCTCTGAACACAAACACCAGACATGAAGTCTTGTTCATACTTTAGATACAGGTGCAGTTTTGTTATTGTGAACCACAGTGTGGTAATTTGAAACACACAGTGTGTTTGCCTTTATGCATGCCAGTGCAAAATATCCCTGTACTGATTCAGAATGTGTCAAGGGCACATAGCACTGAGAGTCTCCAAATTAATCACCAAAATATGATAAATATGTACACATGTAACAGAGGATGTTGCATTCAGTGTCAGTCTTACTTAGAGTAAACCTAATTAAATGAAGGTGATTCAAATCTGGCTAATATTGGGTACAGGCCTAGGATTATCCCATTTAGGTAGGAAGCCCACAAACTAACCTTGGAGAAGGCCACACTGAACACAGTATTACTTCTGAGTAAACAGACAAGATTTCACTATAAGCTGTTTAATATGAACAGCATTTAATCACCACTCCAGTTGGCAAAATGAGTACATCATCACGAATTTTGGTGTAAGCAAGAGTAATAGATGCCAGTTTTATTTCAGTTACTGAATATGAAGTTGCAATACAGATTTCTGATGCCCAAAGAACATTGTAGTCCCTCTCTGAAATTCAGCTTTTGGAATACAGATGTCAATAATGAAAATATTATGCACCATATTTCAAGCAAACAAACTTTTTAAAGTATTTGTTTTTGTTCTTTGCCATCTGCTAAAGCCCTTAGCCTTTTTTAAACTGGAGACTTTAAACTGTGAAATAGACTGTCTCCTTAGAAGCATAAGAACTCTGCATATTATTGACAAAGCTTGTGAAATTTAATCTATAGATAGTATTTCAATTGCAGTAGTTGTAATTACAAAACATTTCAAATAGTCCATAGTTGCAAAACATTTCAAATGCTCCAAACAATTGTGATCCTTGCATATAAGCACCTTGCATATCCTTGTTACCTAGAAACACAAGTAGTATCTGTGAGGGAGGCAGCCAGCATTAGGATTCACACTAGGTCAAATGCCCCCTTCAGCAGCTTTATAGCAAAATGAACTCTCTTTATTAAAGTTCAGCATGAGCTGCTGATCTAATGAGAGGTGCTACGGATCCACGTATATGAAAGATACTCCATTTAATGCTCCATGAAAGCTGATTTCAAATGTCACTGATCAAAGTCTTGGGTGAATGATCCTGTTTAGAGCTTACTCCAGTGGTGGCCAACCTTTTAGGCAAATGTATCAAAGTCAAGCAGTGAAGTAGAACATAGCTTCATTCTAGTGTACATTACAATCCTTTGTGCCTTGGAGAATTTTTGCCTCTGCTAAATGAATGTAGTTGCTTAGAATAACTGAACTGGAAACCAGCGGGGGGAGCATAATCATGATTATGCCATAATGAGGTCAGTGGATATGCATGATCCAGTTCAGGGGCATTGCAGATCTCCAGTATACATATAATTTGGCTGCCCATGAGTTAGGAACACTCATACAAGCCCCCAAGCCACCACAATGAAACCTTCACTGGTTTATCTAGAAGCTCTGGAAGGTGGGAGTACTCATTTCTCACAAAATGACTGATTAGGATGGGACCAAAACATTTTGCTTGGAGACATGCTTTTTGAAAAGAAACAAAATTAAAAGAAGCCTTAGCATACATTGATCTTCTGCTGGCCCTGGGGGTTCATTGGCAACCCACTAGGATGTACCCGTTACTAAACCACATGAGAAAGGAGTAAGAATGGAGACTTCACAGTTCAGCTCTGGTGGGAAGGGCTGGGGGAAGATTGCCAAGAAATGTCTTTTGATCTTTATAAGCTCTCTCTAAAGTCCAACACCCTTTATAATAAGTAAGCATCTTTCAAAAACTTACAAAATTTTAAATACTAAAACACTATTTTGCCTCTTTTGCTAAGTTACAACAATGAAGAATAATTTCAGAAAGACAAATGGTAGCTGAGGCACGGTTCTCATCTGATAAAAGGAAAAGTCTTTCTGAGAAGAAGCTCACCAAGTCATATTTTATGGAAATCTTGAAGAGTGCATCGGGTGAGGTTTTATTTTTAGATTTATATAAATAAACGTTTTATATGTAATCCTTCTAGAGAATAAAAGCTATAGTCAATTGTCAGTCAGGTGGCCTTTGAATTCCACAGACATCTTAACTTTTGGCAGCACAACTGCTCCTTCTGTTGTTTTTTCTTTCAGAGGTGATGCTGTACACAGTCCATGTAGGCATTTATGTTCTCTTCTCTTCTTCAATGGCTGTTTATTTTAAATAAATGCAGAAGACTCGTGGATCAAGTCCAGCACAGTACCAAAAGTACTGTCTGAAGCATCATCATGCTGGACTGATGTCATGCCATTTAACAACAACTTTTTCTGGATTAGCAATTGTGTCTCTCCACTGATCAGCAGCTTCAGTACTGTTACTATCAGTGCTTAGCCAGACCTGCATGGAAAGGAAAACAGCGGGAATCATTTTGTGGATCTCACTGAAAGTCATCCTTGAAGTTTATCTCAATCACTGTATAGACAAAATATGTACATAACTGCAGAGTGTGAATGAAGAACAGAAAGGTTATGACACATTTTAGACAATATGACCTTTTTTAAAAAAATGGATCATGTTGCTGGTTTTATATTTTATCAATTTTAATGGCTATGTTGTCTGAGCATCTATTTTATGGTATTTGTAATATTTTAAGATAGATTTTAAAAATTGACAAAGTCCACATGGGATGCAAGGATTAGTTCTGCTCTGGCACTATTAAACAGCTTAACTTTTTTTTTAAGTATCTCCACTGCATGAAGCCCATTCTGTCATGCACATTCTGTTATGACAGAAACAAATGGATATTGAAAATCAGGACAATATTATAAGTGTCTGCAAAAAGAAACATTAAAGTTGCATTTTGCACAAATCTATTGTGCAAATGGACACAATGCATTTATCACCAAGGAGCATATCAGAAAAGTTTGTATATGGGATGGTACTTAAGGGTTCTTAACAAAGAAGTCAAAGTTAAGCTATCATTAGTACCAATAATTTGTAGGGGAGAGAATTAAGAACACAAAACTTTCATTGAATTCAATGAGATTGTTTTAACACCTGCCTAACATTGTGTTGATTATATTCTTTTGAGGATGCAGATTATCAGAATTTTGGCTGGATGCCATGAGTTTCACTGGCATCTTTGGAACACTCCTCAGCCTTGCAGAAGTTCCTAAGTAAACTGAAGTTATTATAAAAGAGTGTTACAATACGTTGAAGGAAGTTAGAATCAAAACTCAGCTTCAGAAATGAAGATACTGTGCAGAAGTGAAAATAGTGAAAATTTATACTTCAAAGCATACAATCATGAAATTGTAACTGGTAATTTCCAAATGATTGCAACATTTGATCTGAAAGCTGCAATCAGTGGCTGGGTTCACACAACATGACAATCCATCATAAATTGTTACATATGATGGGCTGTCATGTTGCATAAGCCTGGGCTACATCAAGTCACCTAGGAATTCCTCTAGTAGCTGTACACACAACTGGATATCATGTCATCTGAACACATCAACATGGGTACAGGGAATCAGCCCCTTTGAAGTTCCCAATATTGGGTACCCAATATCCACAAATAGTTTTGTTAAAAAGTGTGTGTGTGTTGGGGGGGGGGCAAATATCTGCATTTGTGCAATTGCAAAAATGTGAAGCCTTGACCCAGTAGATACCTTCTGCCAAGATGCCGCAGGCACCAACTTTGGACATTGCCTCACAGAAGCTTCAAAAAGCCCCCCCCCCCTTGTTTTCCTTTGGCACAAGTGATCTTTGCTGCTGAAAACGGGGAGTGGGGGAGGATTCACTCACCATTTGCAGCAAAATCCTCTTTTTGCTTTTCTTTGCCCTAATAGTGCATAGGGTGATACACATTTTACACTTGCCTTTAAGACTCTGGATGCCTTTTGAGGGAAAAATTATCTTTGACAACTAGCTGTCAAAACTCTGTTTCACCTTTAAAATGGCATTTTGACATGGCAATGATGGGGAGGGTGTGTGCTTGGACAGGAAGATATGTCCATGCAAAACCCACTTGTGAAAACATTGTGTTTTACTAGCTGCATTAGGGAAAAGGCAATTCTGCCATCTCACAGAGAGTATTTTTTATATTTGAGCATTTGGGGACCCTACTGACCATACAATCAGGAAGCAGTACTTTACAATATGATTTTGTTCTATGTAGCTGGTGGAAAAATAACAATACAAGTTGACATTTCCTGCTCTCTAATTGCAGTCAGGTGCTATAGAAATTTCCACACAGGAAGCCACATTCCACACAAATTAGTGAACCGTTTTCACTGATTATCATCAGGGCAGAAAACAAGTGCCTCAGTGAGACATAGGAGTGATTTACCAATAGTCCTTACGTCATGCCAAAGCACTTAGCCACCCTTTTCCTTATTGAAAAAGCAGTGCGAGAGTAGAAACAAGGCAGGGCAATGCATGCCATCTGTGGCTTGCCAGCATTTGTAGCCAGAGTTTGGTGAAACTGGGACACAGGGTGTAGAAAGACAAAATAGTAGATTTGTTTAGAGCTGATGGGACTAGAACTGGGGGAATCCCCCCCTGCGCACACGCGCACACACACACTCTATCAATAAACACTTGCAACATAACAATTGGAAATTAATGCTTACAACCAGCCCTAATCCATCTACTGCAATGAATGAGCTTCTCATTTGTTTGTTCCCCCAGGACTCTATATCACTACTTGGTTTTCTACCTAATACATGCTGCTGTTAGTAAACAAGAAATGTATTTGTTATGACATACAGGACTCACTGTGCCATCAGATATTAATCAAAATGTCAGTGAATGTTTCTGACATATGTTTAAAATATTTGACCAAAATGTTTATGGATGAGAGGGTTTTGGATAACATCCCATGTAAAAGAACAGGGTTATATGGGAGTGGGTTGGAAGATGCCCTGGGCCTAATAGTCCCAAATGGTGATCTTAAACAGTTCTGATGATGAAAAGGCCCTGTTAGGAGAAACATGGTAGGACAGATAACTAAGCTGGCCCAAGTGTTTTTGCAGGGGAATGATGGCTGTGGACTCTGCCCAAGTGCTAGCTGTAAAGTTCACACCCCACTCAAATCTAGGTTCAAAAAATGAGATGATTTATCCTGAAAGGTAACTCTCATTAACATACTTCACCTGATGCAGTTTGAAGCTGAAATCCATAGAAACTTACTGAAAAATACTTTATCCCAGTAAGAAAGGTATCTATTAATATAGATTATTTATACTATCTATCTATCAACATAGATGGCATTTTTCTTGATTAAAAAAGCATAATCAAAGCAGAGCTGTGACCTAACTAACTTAGGACCTATCCGGGGGTTATGTTAACTTCTATTTTTGTCAGGTAGAGGAAATAAACCAACCTGTCCCAGGAAGTGTTTTCTCCTCACAGAGCTCTTGCTGTAGAGTTTGATAAGAAAGTTGATGCCATGTTCATTCTGGCTCACTGGAAAAATCATAGTTTCTCCCCATTTCACTTGGCTATTGCTGGATTTCAGTAGCCGAGTCTTCTTCTTATCAACCAGTCCTTCAGCACTAAGCATTGCTGCCTTTACAAAGAAATCTAGAAAAGAAAAATGACATACAACGGTTATTTTAAAAACTTATTCACCATGGGCAGATAAAATCTGGTAACTATAAGCCGCCCCGAGGCTTTGTTGTGATGGGGGCGGCATAGAAATGGTTTAAATAAATAAATAGAAATGGTTTAAATAAATAAATAAAAGAAGTTTTACCCATGATCATTAAAATGGTTAGTTTCTTTATGGCAGGCAGGCTTGGAGAAAAGGACATCTTGCAGGAACCATGTTGTACCACCTCTCCGCAGATTCCTCACAGTGAAAACTGGGACCCATTGTCAATAGGAGAGGCTGCTACGAACATAATGTTTTACCTTAGCGCTGCACTTTCCTTCACCCTCCATGCCCATCAGGGTTGGACAAGGACTCCAGGCACAGTGGACTCACTAAGACACTTGGCAGCACCCACCAGGACCCCCTCCTCAGCCCTTCACTCTCTCACCACTTCTCCTGCCATCACTGCCGGGAAGAAGGAAGTTGCTGGGGGCACACAATGGCAGTGGAGGTGGCAGCGGATGGACAGAAATGACTGAAGTAAGAGGGGTGACAAGAGGAGAAGACACACACAAGTGCGCAAGTGGGTAGGAGGGGCACAAGCAGCTGGCTGTAGGGAGACAGGTGGAAGACACAAGCAAACAAGTGGGTGGCAAGAGGCTGGTGAGCATGGTAGCAGGGGCAAAGGAGAAGAAAGGAAAGGTGGTGCGAGAAGGAAATCCTAAGTGGAGACAAGGAGGAGGAGAAAGGGAGGCAGGAAAGACAGGAACTACAGAGAGAGGGCAGGACACACAGAATCCAGGAAAAAATGCACATATACCCATAGGCCCAAAAGAAGATTGGCTACACCTAATCTAAATGAAAACCATACTCATATAGGAAAGACATATATGTGTATTATATTTTAATTGATGTTTTGTGAGCCGCCCCGAGGCTTCGGCGAATGGGGCGGCATAGAAATTTTCTAAATAAATAAATATATCTCTGAAATAGAAACTAAATCTTTCCCCAGCCAGAATTTCCCCACTATCCACAACAGTCCTTTCTGATTACCTTGTCTCATAAAGCTGACTTAATGTAACTGAAAATTGAACCTGCTCATATCTGCAAAATCAGGCTTCTCATCTACACAGCCCTATTTGATCACACTTGTGGAAGAGAGAAATAAAATGTAGGAAACTGGATTTTTAACATAAAAGTGAACAAGACTGGAGTTGCAAGAACAGCACAACTGCTTTCCTTTATCACTCATACTTTCTGTCCCAGAACAAGGCTGAATTGCATCCCAGGTAGATCAGAAAGTATAAATACTCTTCTTACATGACAGAATCAATAGTATTGTAATCAACTAGAAAAGCAGAAACATGCAAAGATGTTTTTTCACACCTAGAAGGACATAAGTGGGAATTAATGCTAGCAAGAGAAGTAAAAGTTAAGTTAGCACTCCATAATGCAGTCTATTAGCTTTTCTGTGTAAGGCATTTATTGTGCATTCAAGCATCCTCGTTCATGATTATTTTTGAGCTCTTTAGGTGACATCATGATCCTCCAGTGTCAGAGCACTTCCCCATTTTTTTTAAGAATGGGGGAAATGATACTGACTTTCTGTATGTATTTGTGCTATTTTGCTACAGCACAGCTCCACCTAAGTTGCATAGCAGAAAAGGAGGAAGGAAAGTGCTCTTTGCTGACAGCTCAAAGCTCAGTGCTATGGCAATATACAGCAATGAACAGTCTTGTGCAGAAAAATGTTGACAATGCCTGACCACTGAAGATTTATTGCCCTAACAGAGATGGCATCACTTACTTGAAGACAATGGTGTGGATGAGCTTGGAAGGTCTTGGGCTTCAAGAATTTGCAACTGGATCCGGCTGTTTACTGCTTGAAAACAGGTACCTATTTTCAGTTTGGCAGGATGCACCTGTGCAGAGAATGAGAGTGCAGTGGTATTTCCTGATTGCATCTGAGCCAACTTGCATGAATTAGAAAAAGAAGGGCTTATTATGTGGTGGTGAATGAAATCAGATTTTATTACTTTCTGTTTTGAAACACAAAGTATTCCAGCTTAGGGTGCACTTCTATGCATGTGTAGACATAAAAAGTTCTATAACACCTAACATTTCTCAGCTAATAGGACTCTCATGCCATATCAACAAAGCTTTTGAAGCTGTCCTCAATGTGGCTACTTTCAAAAGAGACAAACACCTCCCCCCCCACCTGAGATTATGGAATGAATGCCATGTTTCTTTGGATCCTGTTCCATCCGAGATTAATAAATGAGGCCACAGCATGACTTCTTTTTGTGAAATCACAAAACCAAATCCTGCATACTGAAAATCCATCTACTGCCTATTAGGTTGAATGCACCCCTACATCCATTCCATAGAAATGCCTGTCTACATGTTACTGCAAGCTTCCCTATTTTTAGATCACAAGAAAATGAGTCTGGTACACTATAATCCTCTCTAAGGAGAGTTTTGAAAATTGGTCATTTCATTCATTGATTGCAGTTGTACCAAGTTTCAGATTTAGCATAGGCCATAAATTAGTCAAAGCTTTATAATGTTTTTCTCAGACCTCTTAGCAACCAGCTGTTGTTGACTACAACTTGCAGAAGTTTACTCCCTAACTTTCACTTCAGAGTACACAGCATTAAAAAATAAAAGAGTAAGGATACAGCATTTAACTACCCTACTAAGAACTTGAAATATTCATTCTGAATAGTTATTTGAGGTGAAATAAAAGGGTCTTAGGGTTTTAGGGAGAGCTGATTATTTCCCATCAGCCAAATATCACTTGCTTTCAAAGTCATGCTGGTCTGTGACATTTATGAATTTAGGGACATTTAAGTTTACAACATCCAGTAAATTGTAGTTGGGCATATTACAGGAGATTCATCAGGCTTATGTTATTGGGAAGAACATCTTCACTCCACTAACATTCTAGCACTGAGGGTTGCAGAGGGAAGGGCTGATAAGCAAAAATTACCTATCCGCACATACATACGTTCCCTAGGAATTAGCATTGATCTGGAGCCCCTTTTATTCACAGAAAATACTGGTGAAACCTTATGCTTTGTGGTGTTTTCAGGTGCTCAAGTAGTATTGATCAAGGATTTGTTTCAGGATCCTAGGGAGTACTCAGATGTGTCCTACTCAACATCCATTCCCGCTAACTTCCAAGGTTCCCTGGAACTTAATAACTTACTGAAGATTTCGAAGGAGGGGCTATCATCAACCAGTAGTCAGTTTCTTGTGAGCTGAGCTCTTGCAGTGGCAAGCTGCATTCTCCTATGGTTTTCTTTCTAGGAGTCTGAGCTTGTACTTTGAACAGTAGTCTTGCATTCTGCAGGACTTGCAATTTGATTGCAAACACAAAAGTCTCCATGAATTCAATATCCTAAAAGAAATGATGATAACAGTAAAGTAGATCAATCAAAATGTTACCTCTTCCGAACAAGGCACATACAACTATGTTAAAGGCAATGTCAGTTAGAAAATTAATTAATAGAAGCTACCCATGAGTGCAAGCATAAGTATAATTAATGGCAGACATTCTTTTCAGTGCTGTTTTTCCATTAGCAATGATCTAACCTTTTGTAGGAAGACACATACATATTAGAGACATGCGAATGGAAGATTAGCAGTCCACACAAATCCATAAAAGCAGCTCACTGTTGAAATAAAGTAAGTCATCAGCAGGCACCATCAACAGGTAGATCCTTACTGGGAAGACATTTCAAACCATCAAAATTGTTCTGTCTCTTTTAGCACCCATCCAATCACATGCAATTATAGGAGAGAATTCAGGTCTTTTGATAGCAGTCTTAAAACTTAAGCAGGCATGTGTGAAACAGCAACATTGATACTGGCAAATGTAATGTACTGAAATGATAGTGTAGGAAGTCCCCAAAGGAGTGAATTGTACTTATGAAGAAAGTGGTACTTAAAGAACCTGATGACTCTTCCCTTAATAGCTGCACAGACAAAAGTACAGATAAAAGATCTGTGTCAATAGCGAACAAGCTGCTATTGATAGTTCTAACTGAGAAAGTCTAGTGCTGTCAGTAAGCCTCTTGAAGAAAGAGATAAAACACAATTTAAATGCACATGACAAACTGTGACAGGCAGATGTAACTGGAGTTAACAGATGTTGACTCTTCTCCTTGGCTTAGCAGAAAGCAAAGCAAAAAGATCACACCCATGTTTCACAATATGCTTTAACACACATAGGGAAGAACTCCAGAAAAACAACAGTGGAAAAACAGGATGGTTGCCAATTTTTTACCCCTGGCAGGTTGCCTACATATCTAACAGAAACCAGCAGGTAAAGCTTTTTCTGCCACAAAGATTTAGAAATAAGAAACAGTGTTAGCTGTTATGACAGTTAAAGATACAGAAACTCTGCCAGGTAGAGTTGGTAGCCCCCCAGAATCATGTTGGTATCCAACACTGACCTGCCAAAGTCACACTACTTCTGCTACACAGATTGGACTGCAAGTTGATACCCTGAGTCCTACCTAGCTAAAGGTCACATCTCCATTGATAATTGGAACACCTCGCCCAACTTTGTAAAGAAAGGAAGGGAGGGGTAAAGAACCCTGTTGTCTCTGTAAATTCTCAAAGAAAATACACTTAATTCACTATCATTTATATGCCCTTACCTTATAGGACTCATGTTATTTACATATGGAAAAACGTTGAGGTTTTTATTTTGCTTTTATTTTAATGTCACTTACGCTGGAAGCTTCTTTTGCTAAGGACCTGAATTGCACTGGCTTGGGTAAGGTAAGGATTCCCTTGATGGAAATGTGAGGGTTTTCTCCAAAGCTAGATGGCCAGCTCAGATCTTTGCACTGAAAATTGAACAATGAAACTAAATTTAGTCAACTAGCAACCAAACTGCTTACCTTATTACCTTCTTACATTTTCTCTTCCACTTATGAATAGAAGTGTGTCTAGATGAAGGACTCTTAGTGCTAACAACATTGTGTAGCTATACCACCTTTTTCCCCTTAACAGATTTTCTGTAACAAGAAAAAAGATGCAAGTACCCTTGACAAGAGATGAGAGGGTTACAAATGGAAGATGATAACATCTGGACTCTACTGACCCTGTTAAAATTATGTGAAAGAGGCAGTATGATTGTACAGTAAAAGCCTTGTCAAAGCACCATAGTATGAACTGCCATCTTGTTACAAAAATAGTTACCCCACCTCATGAAATCTCAAGCAAACAGAAAAGTCACGTTTAGCAAGTCAGATTATTAGCTGAGGCAAGGGTGTCTCTTTAAGATGCTGGTAGCACAGAACCCTCATTCATAGACCTCCATGGTAGTGCACAAAAGGAACTGAGGTAGTCAACGTTAGATTCATGGTTTACCACAACATCAAAACTGTCACAGGGTATTTGTTGGTGTAAGCCAGTAGAATTCCAACCCCCCAAATATTACTTCCCAAAATAATGTATACTGGGTGGGGAGGGTGTCTGTAAATGGTTCAGTAAATAGTTTCCATGTCCTAGGATCAATTCCCCATTTAAAAGGATCTCACAAGGCAAGTTTAGAAAAGGCTACTGCTATTCAGGATACATAGGAGCGAGTTAGAGGAATCCTATAGTATTCCTCTATAAAGTACATCTGTTATGTTATGTTATGCTCACCACCACCAATACCAAATTGTAGCTAGGATATTAAAATAATCTTATGTATAAGCCCAATGGGTATTACTCCCGGGTAAGAGTATAATGTAGGATTATAGTGGGAAGAATAACTAGAGGACCTTTTAGTGTGCCTGTGTGTGCTCACAAATGTACTTTTTTAATGTAAAGACAAAACAAAGAATGTAATAAAACTGGAACAGGATGTGATATCAAAAGTAGTACATCATATTTATCTTAAGAATACATTTTCACTGTTTTATTTCAGAAGAAAAGGTGATCCATATTGCCTACTTTATCCCTTTTTCCAGTGACATTCTACCCCTCCCCCTTCTGTAGAAAGTCTGTAGCTGCAGACTTTGTAGGAATCAATGTATCTCTCTCTTGGGTCAAACAATTAATTTGCACAGTTAATAGTAGGATAACACAAAAGTAGAAAGGGATCAATATTATTTATTCTTGCTTTTGTTGGGAAGGAGGTGTCATTGCTGATGTTCCAATGGCCCCTACCTTTTGACGGATCAGGCTGCACATGCAAAATCTCAGCCCGACATCCATCATGACACCAGTTCAAGATCCACTGTGGGCTCAGTTAGGCTTACTCACTTGCAAGATTGTGATCCAGATCTGTTCCACAGGAAGAATGTAGTACACCTTCACATTTAGCCTGCCAAATTCTCTTTCATCGCCTGATAATGTAATAGTATCTGGGGGATAAATCCAACAACAACTCTTTTAGAACTTGTTCTCAAAAGTTGCAAAGCATTCAATCCAATGAATCAGCCAAGTTTTAAGAGCTGTCTCACTGCTTAAGAATTTCCATTAAGAATTCATCATACACTTGCAATTACTAGGATCCAAGTAATTATAACCTACAACGAAATAGAAAGTATTGGAACACAAGTGTTTTTATTAGTGTTTCAACAATTTGTGATTAATCCAAACATGAGCATATCCCAGAAGAATTCTCAGAATTATATTAACACGATATAGTGTTGCAACCTTTTTCCCTCAAGCCAGAACTCTCTAGCTTTTAGTATCTGAATTAGAGGGCCAAAACTGATGAACCTTTTCACTGCTGTTGTGCCTCCATGGCAAGTAAAAGCTATGGTAAAAATGTTATGGTATAAAATGTGTGTCAGAAAACTGGTGACAACAACAGGGTAATCCTATTTTCATTATGAAGGAACATTTGTGTTTTTCCCTTAAATAAAGAATTGTCTCTGCCACAAACATATCCAACTAATTGCACTCAAGTGTGAATTCTTTCTTATATCAGTAAACTAAACTAAATGTTTCCAAGAATATGCAATCAGATATACATTTCTAGTTTCATAAAATGAGTTTGAGAACTGTGGGTCAACCTCAGGATAGGTTTATTTGTGAGTTACAGTGCCTTAGAAAAGTATTCATTATCCTTTGAATTTTCCACATTTTGTGTGTTACAGTAAGGAACTAAAATAGATCTAATTGGCATTTGCTGTTTTTACATATTTGAGCTGGGTTTTATATTTGTGAGCTTAAAACTGAGATTGATCCATAACTAAACTTCAACCAGTATCTTCTCTCCCCACCCAAAGTTTGACTTTAATTGGAATATTATTAACTAGTGGAATGATAAGCACATGCGTTTGGAAGAAAGCTAGAAATAACAACCACAGCAGAAAGCTGCACCAACATTCCTGGCTAAGAAATACTGACTCAAAATATCAGGTGCTAATGAGATAAGTGCACAGTATTATGATAAACTTGTTTAAAAAGACAGATTGCAAAGGGTACAAAAAAATTTAAAGATCAGACTATCTACCTTCTACCTGGGCCCTCAACATCCTCCTTCAGAAAATACAAGCCTGATGCTATAATCCATTGATGTGATGATATTAAGAGAACTGAAAAACAATAGCAGTATTCAAGCAGGAGAGAGACTCACACTTCAGTCTGAGCAACCTGATCAGCACAGTTATTTCTGACAGAAGGCAAAATGTAAGGTAGGTTGAATTTTTTTTTAGGTTGAAATTTTTTATTTAAATAAAACCATACTACAAAATGTAAGGTAGGGATTAGAACAGTCAATGTCTTTAAAATATTTGCATACTGAAAGACTCTGAAGTGGTTCTGCAACTCACAAGCTACAGAAACAATTAACTGTATGATTAGCTCTGACTTTGCATTGTTATGCATCATCATGAATAGGTGAGCCTTACAGAAACAGCCCTCAATACATATGCTCTACAATTGTGCTAATAAAATGTTGATATTCTCAAGGTCATGCCTACAAATCCAATTTACTGCCAGATTCAGAAGAAGACAAGTAAGCTGTGTTTATTACCTAAACTCCTGTTGCTACCTTGTGAGTCCTTCCTTGAAGAAGTACTGCTTGGAACACTGGAAAGTGAATCATATCTCTGCAATCAATAAATTAATTAATTAAAATCGAAAATGTGGCTGAGTAGTGAACAGAAAAAAAGCATCACATATGCAAACTTATGTAGGGAGCTTTTCCATGTGAGGCTGCTAATCCACTGTATCTGTTTCCCTGCAAAACTGAGACTGAAGCACTACACAAGGAGTGTTTCTTTGCCTGCTTTTCCACTACATAATTTATGTGTGGAACTGTGGTGTAGTGAACTAGCCTAACAAGATGAGAGAAGTTGTGCTTTTTTCATTTTCACCATTAACTACTGCATTTTTCCTGACCTAAAAAAAATTGCTAAAGCAAGAATAAGAGAGCAGAAGAAAGAAATTCTAATTTAACTAACTGGCTATTTTCCACTCCAAAATGCTATGGAAAAGGGAGAGAAGCTGCTATATTCAGGATTGCTGCCTATAACAATATCACAAGCAGCATCCATAGAAACAGAGCAAGTCAGAAGGGGTCTCCCGGGCCATCTAGTCTGACCTCCGGCACCAGTTGGCTCCGCTCATGACATGCCCACCATGTGCATGTCCAGCCTATCCTTGAACACCTGCACCGATGAGGCCTCAACGACCTCCCGTGGAAGCCCATTCCACACCCTCGGGGTCCTAACTATCAGGAAGTACTTCCTGGCATCTAAATGGAACCTTGGAGGCTCCAATTGCATGCCATATTATTGCCTTAAATTTTCTAACCACAATGTGTGTATTGCTTCTGGTACACAAAGAACACATGGGCAGGGAAGGCTGGGAGTGGGAAGGGAAGAATTTATCTATAGGTACTAGTAATTTCTCGTGTCTCAAAAGAAGCTATATGTTGCAGGAGCATTTGGGATAGTTCATCAGCAGCAATCATTGAACTAGATGAAATTCTGATTTCCTTAAGCATAACAAACTGCCTACCATCCAGCAGGTGGAGTAGCCAATGTTTACACCTTTTATGCTTTCAGAATTTCATTTATTACATTTTATTTATATTTATTTAAACTTTCATAAACTGTTCAATTTATAAAGCTCTCAGAATGGTGCACGAGATAAAAACCATGTAAAACCAAATTCAATATACATATTTGATATCAATAGATCACCAAAATACAATACAGTGCCAACAGTTAACAAATAATAATATCTAACACCAAATACTAACTAATTCACAGTATGCCAGTAACAATCTAGATAAAAACCAGTGTAAAATTGAATGATAGTATTTAGCAGTTAAAATACCAGGCAAATAAATCAGTTTTGTAAAATGTAAAGAAAGTTGGTGCCAGACACACCTCCCTGGGGAATTGATTCCACAGTTGAGGTGCCACAACCAAGAAGGCACTTCCCCTCAAGGCCACCTTCCTCACTTCTTGTAAAAATTGCTCCCAGAGAAGGACCTCTGTAGATAACCTTAGGGTTTGTTTAGGTGTGTATGTATACCAAATAGCCAAAATTCTCTAGGCAGTTTACAAAGAATAAAAACCTTAAAATGCATTATTCAGTATACTTACAAACATATAAACAGACAACACAGAGAGACATACACACATCTAAAATAATTTTAAACAGTTCACAACAAGAAAAATCCAGGACCTGATTAAAATCTTGTCGTATGTTGCCAGAGGCCTGAGAGAAGCAGTAGGTTCTAAGCTGCTGCCAAAAAGATAACAAGAATGGTGCCAGATGGGCCTCACTGTGGAGGCCCATCCAGTCCAGCCAGGCACCAATTAGCATTTCTCTTGGGGCACTGAGTGTTATGACTACAAGCAAGCCCTATCTTTTCCCAGTGCAGATCAAAATAAGTTCTAGGGAAAGACCTTGTTAGGTTTAATCCTTGTTAGGAACTGAACATTAGGTGCTATGAATTGTTCGTTACCTATATCTTTGCTACCCTAACCTCAAACATTTGCATATGAAATGGTTTTGTGACCAATGGATGTGCAAGAGGATGGATTAATTTTTAAAGTGATTCATAAGTGACACAACATTCTTAATATTGCTTGAAACTGTAAACAACCTAAGCATTTCATTATACACAATGTGACAACACATTTCTGGGTGGGGACAGCCTTTTTAATTATTAAAAGAATTACCTGAATAAATCGGTGGGGTGGACTTGTAAGATCAAACATAGAATGACTTAGAGAAGCAGAGGCTGGCAATGTGCTACTCCTTAAGTCACAAACTGGAAAAAGAAAAACTCAAGTTGAAATCTCAAGAACATCACAAGCAGTTGCACAGCTTTCACCTAGGATATCAGACTCAGAAGCAAGTAACACCCTAAGGATGGCCAGTTGCCTCTCAGCTCATTCAGAATTTGTGTGCTGATTATGGACCAGAACGACACAATCCAGTAGGAACGCTGCCTGTCAGCCTTGTTAAAATGAACGCAAGCCACACACATGTTCCTACTGTAGTTCTCTTCATACTGATTTGCATCCGCACAGAGGGGAATGCTCCTTTTGTTGAGTATTTTATGATTGCTTTGTTTCTTCTTCCTAAGCCATGTGAACTGTTCTTAGGCTCAGGAGAAAGAACACAGTGGGACATCTCCCTTGTGCAAATTCTTATTTCTTGCTTAACAGCCATTGGTTCATTGACTGAAGGTCAGCCTAGGGGTGTGAGTTCCACAAACAAGGTCATTTGAACAAAACAAAGAGCCTTCCAAGCTACATCTGTTCGTTTCCCACTTCTAGCAGCCAAGTTAACCACTATTTCTAAAATATGGTCTCTGGCTCAAGGCAATACCCTTTCCTTTTGACTCCCAGAAAACTGTGTATCCCTAACAGAGTAATTCTATGGTGCCTGGACAAAGTTGGAGACAGCACTTTGACCTCAGAAGGGTGAGTAAGAGATCAGATCCCTGAATCTGTTCTCTTGCAGCCAGTGGTGAAAGAACTGCACTGGCTGCCTCTCCAAGGTCTGAAAATTGACCTTGGAGCGGGGAAAGGGGGGGGGGCAATTCCATTACTCAGGAAGGGTAGGAAAAAGAGGCCAGACTCCTCCCTCCTGCTTCAAAGTACCCTCACTAGACAGGCTGAAAAGCCCTTCTTGTAAAAACCTTGGACATCAGAGATGTGGAAGGAAAGATCAGTGCTTCTGCTTCTCCTGCCTTGCTGCTTTCAGTTTAACTGGGCACAGGAGTTTGGAAGTCTTTATGTTCAGACGTTTCCAAGCAGCGAAGACACAATCCATAGCAGTGCAGCCTAATAGCCAAATAGGTCGGATGCTTAGTAAAGCTATCCATTAATTAACCTGGACTGCTTTCCTTCAAAGTCCTGCCCCTGATCAGTGTTGTCAGCAGCTGAGAGCTTGAAATTTTTGCCTTAAGACTGAACACAGATAGAACAACTCTCTTAAAATGTGCAAGATAGTTATGTTGATATGGATGTGTAAACTGCCTAGATGGACAGATTAGCTGGGGACCATGTATCATCCAAGTTCCTGAGTATGGTAAAAGTGCAGGAATAAAACACAAACATACAAAGGACACACTTTAGTACTTAGAGAGTACTATTTGATCTCCCTTCTACTTCCTCATCTGAGTGGAAACTCAGTCTGCCTGCTTGAAAAAAATTGCCAGAATGCAAAATGAGTAGCTATCAGCATTGGTGTCTATTGTAAATGGCTTCTATATTTACAGAACAGTGTGACTGTCATTTTGCTTAGTCACTCTGCTTAGTAGTCACCTGATAGCCAAAGCTCTCAAAGCAATATGCCTGAACTACAATAAAAATTATTAACACCCAGAATCAGAAAAGCAACTACACACAGAGTTTTAAGAAGTGAAGACTAAAATATGCACACAAGATACACAGCATACACCACCCCCTCTGGCACAGAAGCACCAAGCACACTAAGATCATCATTCCATGAATTTCCATTACTCTTTCCGTAAGAGTTTCATATGCATATTGTTTTGCAATCTTCCTTCATCACTTCATCACAGCCACCCTGCTTAATGAGCATGGAAAGAGTGACCTGCTCCCAATGGCCCACTCAGCACATGCCCAAACAGGGACTTCAGAGTCTTGTCTTTTGGATGCAAACACAACATGAACCTCTGGGCTGTATCAGATGTCCTACTACTCATTAGTCCACTTGCAGAAGGTGGAGACAAATAGCCAAAAATAAATAAATAAATAAGTAAGTAAGTAAGTAAGTAAGTAAGTAAGTATAAAAGGCGTGTTCCTAATGTTTACCTGAGCCATATAGTCTTCTATTGTCCAATTTCTCTGTGCGACACTGGGTCAGATCTGGAGAGGCAGGCAGTGGCTGCTGCTGCTGCATATAGAATGGGTTATACACCACATCAACCACGGGTCTTTGCTGGTAGGCACTGGCAAGTTCTGCTTTTCGATTACCAAAAGATGTTATAGCAGAACCTGCAAAGCATGAATTATATTATTAGGAAGCACAGCATTTTACTTAAATCTTCCATAAAGTATGAGCAGGAGGTCAACAGTGAAAAAACAGATGTTTCCTTTTCCTTTGCATTTCTGTGTAAAGGTCAGCAGCTGAGCTGGGAAACAGTCCTGCAAAAAAGATACACCATCTGCCACCCACTGGCAGAAGAGCTTGGAAAATGCATCTGCTGTGTTGGGAAGAATTGCTTTCCCCCAACAGAACAGCTCACCCCAAGGGTCTTCTGACTTTCTGACTGTATTCACATCTAGTGACAAGCCATACTGGGAACGGCACAGACATGGCTTGTTGTTATGTCCAAATTGAGCATCCTTGGTAAAGGACAACACATTCGGTTTCCATGAAACTTTGTGGAGAAACAATGGTTTGCTTTAAGATTTTCATGTTTCACCATGGTTTGTTGTTACATGTGAACCCAGTTACAATGCTACCATGTGGTTTCCACATTTCTGCTCCTGAGTTTGGTGGCAAGAGCAGTAATGCCTGGAACAGATGCTCTCGCATCCATTTTTCACCATCCTGTTCTGCCTAGCAACTGCTGAGGCAGCTGAAGCTGCAATTTGATTGGGTGCTTGATGCCGCTTTTTCACTCTCTGTGCTTCTTTCCAATGGCCAGCCACAGCTTTGGAATATCAGTGGCAGCAGGGCATCACACCACACCATTTCCAGAAGCAGTAACTGTGGAAGCGGCCACACTCGGTGCTCCTGTCTGGTTGTGCAGTAGTGCTTGGGAAGGCTGCAGGTTTGTGCTACTTGGGGAGCCAGCACTCCCTTCTTGTGAAGGCGGCTTCACACAAGAGGAGCACGAGAGCTGTACAAGGGCATTGCCCTGTGAATCCCAGGTCTGTCTCTCTCTCCCATCCTCCCTGCCATGCCTCCCTTTTCCCTGGCATTCCCGAGGACTGCCAACAAGCCCTCCCCACAAGAGCTGCTGGACAAACGCTGTCCTAATAGTCTGCCAGAAAGCTTTCCTGGACAGAGGCCCAGGAAAGCTGGCCCAGACAGGTGCCTTCTGGAAAGTCTGCCTGGCAGCACGTGCTCCCTCTGTCCAGGGGAACAGGTGCCCATGCAGAAGCCATCTGTGTTTCTGGGTGCAAGGTGAGGTGACCCCTGGCCATGTGTGTGAGTCCCGCACACAGGAGATAGACCTCCCTGTGCGTAGCAAGGGAGGGGGAAGAGGTGGCTGTGTGAGTATGACAGACAAATTAGCTGTAATCATTGGCCTTCAGTCTCAGAGGCAATCCAATTTGCCACAAACTCAGTGACAGCCAATCCCTGTGTGAATTAGGGAAACAGTCCTTCCCAAATGCCAAGATACGTAAAGATGGCACAGCTGAAGCTAGTGCTAGCCAGGCTCAATTGGAGCTAGAGCATGTCGCTAGAACAATGGGAGGGGCAGAGGGAAGGGGAACAGATTGTTTAGTCAGCAGTATGAAAGTTAGGACCCTGTGTAGTTTGGGTGGGGTTAGCACGAGAACCTTGCTTTGCTTGTGTGTGCATAGTCCCCTTTATTCCTGAAGAAAGCTGCCTCCTTTTGAAGATGCTGTCTCCACAGATCTGTTACTGGTCAGGCACAGCAGGCAAGCTCACTGCCTTACAAGGTTTCCCAGATTTGGGTGACAGGTGTGTGCTTGCATGTTGCCACAGAGCAAGGCAGCAGAGGGAAGCATTCCTGCAGTGCTCCTTTAAAGCAAGAGTTGCTTCATAGAGCAGAAGGAGGAGGGAAAAAACCCCCAAAAGGCAGCTGCCTGAGCCATGTCCAGCGAAGTGTACGGGCCAATGAAAGAGAGGAAGGCAACACAGACAGGAGCGGTACAATGATGCTGAGTCACAGTGGTGATACCAGTTGCCATTTGGAAGGAAGACAGAGAAGCGTGGAAGCCTTGCATGCTTACAAACCGCATCTTACACCTTGTATCCTGCATGAATGTATGAATGCAGGATACAAGGTGAGATACCATGCTGCTCACTAACCGTACATCACTGCTTTGCATTATGGGCAAACAGAGCCTCTGTACAGCATTTCCAGAGAGGGTGCTTTAAGGAGGCAGCAGGGAAATCTATTCAATCGATTCAGTTGCAGATGCCTAAATCTGCATCCAACCTAACATGAAAACACAAACAGAACACTTCTGATGGGTGAGCCTCTTGCTGTACAATGTCCTTTCTTTACTTCAGATGATACTATCTATAGGAATGGATAGGATCTTGTACTAAAATGCAAATACATTAAGATAAATTGGACTGCAATAATCTTTAAGTTACAGGTTATAGCTTTAAATAAAGCTATAGTTAATGTTGCTCCCTGGCTTTTTTCTCCATTTATATGAAGAGAGGAACAAAGTGCCTGGGTATGGTTACACAAGTTTCCTCATATGTCAGCTAATTAAACTGAGATTTCATTGTCCCGGTGTGGCCACTTTTGAAGAATCAAATTCTAAAGTGTAGTTAAACATTTTAGATCTGTTTCAGCAACAAGAAGAAAGTCCAAGCATTCTCTTTTTCTAAATTTTCAACTGCATTATGTCTTTTTGATATATAATCTTAATTTTGCAGGGTTTTCTAGTCCAACAAAACATTTGGCTTGGTTTTCAATTGCAAGTTCAGGAATGCACTGCACAGGGAAACTTCTGTCTTGCAAAATCCACCCTGGGTTGAGGGTGGTTGAGGACTGGTGCATGAATTTCACAATAAGATACTGTTCTCTCACTCAAGAATTCCAGAACTAGAACTTTAAAAATGACAAACAAAAGAGCACATTGTCATGGAAACTTTATCTGCCTGAAAAAAGAACTTGGCTGTACCTTCCAATCCAAACTAGCTAGTGGAAATAATAGTAGAAATTTGAATGATGGCCTGAAAAATAGATCTAACTCTACCTAACTTCATACTCTTACTGGCTCACATATTTAGAGAGGTGAAAAAGAAGTTGAAAAACCTAAAACCAATCCCAATAAAAGTCAGAAGCTTTCATTTGAGGCAAACTGTCACAAAACCAGAAGAAAGGTGGTTATCTTTACAGCTGTGTGTCTTGCACAGGCCCTTTAAGGCATGAAGTGGCCTACAAAGCAATCTAAAACAATACACAAGAATATATTGCTCAAACCTGGTGATATCAGTGATATTTGAGAATGGTATTTTTGTTCATTTTTACTTCAAATCTGCCCCATTTACAGCTTTGAAAACAAATGCAAATAGGAGTGTAATTTTCAAGATAAACATTTAAAAATGTTATCTAAAAGAAGTGCATTTTTAAAACTGCACATTTTAAAAATGTGCATGTTTCTACTTGCACCTAGGGAAGACTGCACATTTTGAATGTGCCATTTTAAAAATGAACACACTTTGGTTTGGAAAGAAAAAAAGTTCATGTTCGGCAGCAAGAGAATACTGATGACCTGGACTTCACTGATTCTCCAATATGTCACTAAAATTCATTGCAATTGTAGGCTAACTTAGGACAACACCACCATTAACTTCCTCAGAAGAAACATGGATATCCCCCATCCTTGTACAAATACATGTAATGACAGCTACCAAACAGTTCTTTGGGTTCTTTACCTTGAATTCCTCCAAGATGTCCACTACCAAAGTTCTTGGGCTGAATGTAGGCAAGCTTGAACTGAGGAACCACAAAGGGTACTTCCTTGCCAGCTGGTGGAAGCTTGGAAAGAAGATAATCTTCTGAACAGCCCACCTGAAGTTTCACTGATGCAGAAGACAAGGGAGGTTTCTCCACAATATTTGATCTGTACTTGGCTGCAACTTCAGATTCCTTCTCCAGGGAGACTGTTATTAAACATAAGAAGCATGACACGCACATTCAGCCTTCAATGAGCAGCCTGAAATGATCTTTTGTGTTTTAATGGGATCAGGGACAAATAGGTTGTTCCATCCTGTTGTTGCATTAAGAGAAAGGGAGCAGCAGATACTAAGTAAAACAGTAGCACTAGATGTAAACTACTGTATCCCAATTGTGTTTTCCAGTTACAGCAGCTGATTCAAGTAAGGTTTAGGATGGTGATTAATAAAGGTAAGCTATTGATCAACTCAAAATTACAAGCACTAAACATGATTCTTACCTTTATAATAACAAAAGGTCTTTGAAAAAGTAACTCAATAACTGGGGTTAAATAATTCAATTTCAAGTCAGTCTCTGTCTCTGTATCTCTCTCTCACACACACACGTATGTAGAGAAGGAGTGTTGAACTTCAAATTCGTGAGCCTGTTATAACTGATCTACATCCCAATCCTGACTTAGGGTACAGAACCTTGGGGATTCCTTGGATGACTCCCCACATTTTCTATGACCACTGGGTGTTCAGTGTCTTCCCTGTTTTTCTACACAGGTTTTTCTTTCAATTCTGAAAGAATGAAACATCTCTCCTAAGGCTTAGTTACTGGCAGAAGAAAACTTAAGCTAAAAGATGTTTGCATTTTGAATCCTGTCACTTTGGCATTTGACCCCATTCTTTCTGTCTTCACATCACTCACCCCCACGATGACCCCGCCCCAAGAACTTCAGAAATGAATTCAGTCCTTGAGCTGAAATAAGTTCAACTCCTCAGTGGTACAGAATGGAATAACCATGATCAGATGAGAGTTCAGCAGTTATGACAATGTAGGTAAACCAGAAAAATGTCAGTTACATGCAGTCATCAGATTTAGCAGATGGGGAAAATACTATCTATCCTAGGATAATAATGTTTGCTACACTAGTATTAGGGCTGACACTGCAATTTCAGATGATCAAAAAAATTTGAATCAATTGATGGCTCAGTCAGTCATATCTGTATGCCTCTGCACTAACTTAGTCACAAGTTTTTAAGAAAACAGTATCCTCTCAAGTGTTTGTAACTATTACATGCTGCAGCAGAACGTGAGAATGACCATAATGCATCCCACCTGCATTATTACGGTTGTTGTTGCTGATAATGTCTTGGAAATTTTTCTTAATCAATTAATTTAAACCATTTATTGAATTGGGCCTACTGCCCTAAATGTATATATAATTTGTGCTCTGCATTTTAAGGATCACATATCATGAGATGACAACTAGATAATCACCCATTCTACAGGGGGTGCTTCTAGGTGAGGCCTTTGTTGTGCCATTGCCCTACCTCATTCATGGAATTTTAGTGGGGATCCAGATGACATCTTCTTCCCCTTGTAACCCTTCCAGGTTTCCCTACCATTTCTTCTGTCTTTTTTCTTACCACAGAAGATACAGTGGGTATGTGTCTGTGTGTGTGGGGTGGGGGGGGGGGGGTCAACTAATTGTACAATGCCTTCTGAGTGGAGTCTTCCATACAAAGTACTCATCAGCTAATTCCTTCATTCCTTGTTGCTGTTTTACAGTATATACCAATATGTCCATTCAAATATTTTTCAAAATATGATGTTTAGCTGAACTCACCATCATGCTTTTCTTTCTCAATACACAAACATGCCCTACAACAGTTCTTGATGCATTCGGTTGCCATTACTGCTTCTAATGCAAGATGGAATATGTACAGCCAAGGAACCAATGTAGAAATCAGCCCTGAAAATTAATAATCCAAAATACAGTAATTTAGGTGAAATCTTTGTTTTTGATAGCATTTCCCCCACTTTGTATACTGTTCTGTTCAGTGGTTAGGAGCACGACACCTGAAATAAAACAAGATGGGTGGCATTTACTTCACTGAGGACAATGTTAAGTACAATCTCGTCATTATTAACTTATTTATATCCCACAAACTAGTCATTAACTAATAAACACATTTAAATACTGTGGTACCTTGGCTCATGAACGCTTCAGTTCACAGCCAAATCAGGTAGCGAACAGAAGTTTCTGAAACATTTTGCCTCAGGTCGCGAAATCTGCATCGGGTGACGATTGTGGGCACGCTGGTGGTGGTGATGAGATGGGAGATTCCCCCCCACCCAGTGCTCCCACTTCAAATTTTTGTGTTTAAAAAAATAGTTACAGAACAGATTAACCTTATTTACATTGAACCTCATAGGGAAATTTGACTTGGCTCATGACCAATTTGGATCATGACCAGAGTCCTAGAATGGATTAAGTTTGTGAGCCAAGGTACCACTGTAATATGTTCAGGTCACAATATGTCAGATCAACTCAAAAAGCATGACTTGAAAACATGATTTTAAAATTATATTAAAAAATGTATAAAAAGCAAAACAAAACAATAATATAACATGTCCCCAACAATAGCAATTCAGTATTTGGCACAATGGACCACAACTCCTTTTGAGTCAGGTCTTGCAGCTACTTCTTAAAGCCATTAGGTGAAGCTCTTTAACTGACCTTCTAAGGAGGCTGCTTCACAGCAAAGGGACCATCACTACAAAAAAGCCCTATCTGTTACTGAGTTCAGGTAATAATTGAGCAGGGTACCTGTTCACACGGGAAAGAATCTACTGGGGGAGTGTGTAGATAAGTGTGTCTCAAGCTATGAAGGGAATTAAAGGGCGGGGGGCAAAATAGCCACATGCCCTGAAGCCTGTAGAAACCAAACAAAAACTTTCATATTGTCCTCTTTCCAAGTCTCTGTGCCCATTGTAACATCCCACTATGGTGCTCCTGACAAATGATTCCTCCCATATTCACTTTGAATATGAGTCTCCATTCTAGCCTTGGAAACAATTTTTACATATTGCAGATATACAGATCTTCCCAACTTAGGAAATATATTTAAGCTATTTTTTTAAAAAAGCATCTCAAACTGAGTCTTAGCAAGAGCTATAGAACTGTGGTTTTACATCGCAAATTTTCATGCAATGGAAAAGTACCAAAAATTACTACTACAGTCTTGTATTTAACAACTTGGCTGCCCTAGGAAAATGGCCTGCCCACGTCCCTCATGAGTTACACAGAAGCCAAACAAGCTAGAACAGGATGGATCATAACGGGCTGGTCAAGCTGGTAATGATCAATCACTCTGCCTGCTCCGCTGCTATGTCGCTTGGTGGAAGGCAAATACTGCTGTTAGGAAGGCAGCAGCCTGTATTTCCATGTGGGCCATGGAGATGGCTTTCTCTTCCTTCACAAACGGCATGGAAATGCAGACTAATATATTTTGTTAGCATGCTAAGCCAACCCACTATTGTGTGAAAGTGCCTGCTAGCATCATCATTGAAATGTTCCTTTTATTGCTAATAAGAATTTCCTCTTAACCAATATACATTTATAAAAGTCCTCAAAATCTGAAGAATTCAATGGTACTAATATCAGATTTTCTTACCAGCTGGTACTACCATGCACACTGCAAGATACCACATCTTTTTATTTAGATTTCTCATGCAACCATTTATCTCATGTCAGCTTTCACACGCACTAGTCTTTTGCTTGTATCATATTCTAAATAGATGACATAATTTATATGAAATTGGGTCATCCACACACACAAAAGCATGCAAGCTTCAAAACATCTGTTTAATTTACTCGAAAGAGTATATAAAAGGGAACATCTGGAAACATTATGAATATTTTATGATAACAACAACTGGATTCTTACTGAAAATGTACTATATATTTTCTCTCTGCCTAGCAGGACTAGAACAGCATCAGCGCCTGTCCAAATTCCTAGCAGCAAATTAACACACATGCAGTAAACTTTGGAAAAGCCTTTTACTTTCATATCAGAGTCACTGATGCATGAGGCTTTAAACCTCAAAACTAGAGAGGCAGCTCCAGGTGGCAACTTGAACTTGAACAGAGATTGGCATGGTTACATAAATGCAGAGGCCACAGCTCAGTTCAGTAGAGGGCACACCAAGTGACCAAATATGCCATGACATTTCCTCCTAGGAGAATTGTGTTGAGAAGAGGCAGCAAAGACAGCTGAGCATGGGAGACCTGTGTTCTGCTCCTTCTGTTGCTGCTCCCACTGGGAAACAGGAGACTCATCTAAAATCATGGCAACACTGCAAAGGCTCTTCAGGCATTCTTTATTTCCCAATGAGAGGGGTACTGAAGGAGGCCATTGGTCTGCTTCCTTTTCATTCTCTTTAACCTCAGTAGCCCCAAAAGCTAAAAGTAGAGCATAAATCTATCTTTCCCCTCTTCACTCTCCTCCTCCCACTGGGAAATAGATCTGCCTGAGGGCTATCTATGCTACAGCTGTAGCTCAGTGGTAGCATATGCAGCTTGCATGCAGTTGGGGTTAAGCAGCAGGCTTCTGCAGTGAAACTATGTGTTTTTATCATCTGCTGTGCATTAGTGGAAAATCAGCCAGCTAAGAGATCATTATGTATACCTTGGAGAGAACTCCACCCTCTCCTTGTCAAGTCTGCAAATATGAGACAAGAATAGACTACCAAAGTGACAAAAAACAGAACATCGGTTGATGAAGGCTGTTTAGAAAGGTTGGTTATATCATTAAAACTTAAAAACAGTGGGTATTATCTCTTATTCCAAAGATCTAGCAGATAGACATTCTAATTTAGGTAATTCCTGTTATTTTACTAAGGCAAATGCTAATAGAAATATCTCTTCCAGATCATGTAAAGTACTAGTTCCCCTCTACTCTGCCCTAGTTAGAGCTTAGTTTGAGTACTGCGAACAGTTCCGAGTATTACAGTTTAAGAAAGATGCAGATAAACTGGATGCATATAAGCTGGAAAAGGGCAGCAAAGGTGAACTGGGAACTGGAAACAAAGTCCTATGAGGAGAAACTGAAAGGACTGGACATGTTTAGCCTTGAGAAGAGAAGACTGAGAAAAGATATGATAGTACTCTACAAGTATTGAAAGGGTTGTCACCCAGAGGAGGACCAGAATCTCTTCTTGATCATCCTCAATCATTCTCAATCACCAGCAGGGCATAAGTTAGAGCAAGCCAGATTCCAACCAAACATCAGGAAAAACATCTGGACAGTTAGAACAATAACACAATAGAACCAATTACCCAGAGATATGGTAGGCTCTCCCACACTGAAGACCGTCAAGATGCAGCTTGGCAGCCCCCCGTTAGGGATGCATTAACTTAAGAATTCTGCTCTGAACAAAAGGTGGGTCCTGATGGCCTTATTATCCCCTTCCAAGACTGACATTCTCGTGGGAAAGCCATTGTGTCAGTAGCCAGCAAGCCACAGTACGTATTTTCTCCAGATGCAATGGTTCTCCTTTGGTTCCCTGTTCACTGCTACCCACTATGTTTTAATCATTAGTGATCAGTGTCCATAACTAACTCTTTTAAAGCCTCAGGCAAAACTTAGGGGGATCTAAGTCAGAACATTCTGTCCTTAACTCAATTATACTTATTGCTAGAAATGCTGAATGACATTTCTATTCTGGATGGGAGTTGCATATTAGCCAGCATGCGGCCTTACAATTGTAGCTGGTTTTTTAAGCCAGGGAAATGTGTGCAAATTGTGGTTGGAATTTACATAAATTTCCTGGCTTAAAAAAATGCACATTGTAGCCCACTTTGAAACCAGACATCCCAAAAAGTACCGTGACTTGCCTGGCTTTCAGCTCTCCCTGTAGGAAAGGCCACAGTAAGAGGCAAGAGAATAAGTAGGTTGTAATACTGAAGAAGAAAAGCAAGTCCAGGGTCTCTTCTCAGTGGGACTTTGATACAGTACAAGTCCTTGGCAGGGTCCAAGATTTCCCATTACATTAGCCCTGATAGGATTGCCTCACTCACAGCAAATATGTCTGTACAGACAGCTTGCTTTGATTTCCCAATCAAAATATTCCTCTAGATATTCTAAATATCACACTAGTGCTAGCAAGCCTCTTTTTTTGTTTGTTCACAATGTACTGAGCTTGAAATGAATACCTCACCTCTTTCTGCTGGTAGCCAACAGTAAGACACAGAGACAGTGTATTCTTTCTCCACCCCACTTAGTTAGAAAATAAGTTAACTATACAGTATATCACAGAAGTGAGTACACCCCTCACATTTTGTAAATATTTTATTATTTCTTTTCATGTGACAATCCTGAAGAAATGACACTTTGCTACAATGTAAAATAGTGAGTATACAGCTTGTATAACAGTGTAAATTTGCTGTCCCCTCAAAATAACTCAACACACAGCCATTAATGCCTAAACCACTGGCAACAAAAGTGAGTACACCCCTAAGTGAAACCGTCCAAATTGGGCATTATTAGCCATTTTCCCTCCCCGGTGTCATGTGACTCATTAGTGTTACAAGGTCTCAGGTGTGAACAGGGAGCAGGTGCGTTAAATTTGGTGTTATCACTCTCGCTCTCTCATCCTGGTCACTGGAAGTTCAACCTCATGGCAAAGAACTCTCTGGGGATCTGAAAAAAAAGAATTGTTGCTCTACATAAAGATGGCCTAGGTTATAAGAAGTTTGCCAAGACCTTGAAACTGAGCTGCAGCATGGTGGCCAAGACCATATAGCGGTTTAACAGGACAGGTTCCACTCAGAACAGGCCTCGCCATGGTTGACTAAAGAAGTTGAGTACACATGCTCAGCGTGATATCCAGAGGTTGGCTTTGGGAAACAGATGAATGAGTGCTGCCAGCATTGCTGCAGAGGTTGAAGGGGTGGTGGGTCAGCCTGTCAGTGCTCAGACCATACGTCGCACACTGCATCAAATTGGTCTGCAGGGCTGTCGTCCCAGAAGGAAGCCTCTTCTAAAGATGATGCAGAAGAAAACCCGCAAACAGTT